TCCCCCCCGCAGCCACCATCTTCCCCCACTCAGCCTCCGCGTGCTCCCTCTGTCCCATTCCCTGGCATCCTGTCTGCTTCCGCCCCGGTCACTCTACTCAGAGGCCCAAGTCCCAACCTGGTGGGCATTGGCTGCGTTTTCGGGATTCGATGCTGTCTACCCCTCTCTCCCTGAAGAGCTGTCCTTTCTCTGTCCCTTAAATGTTAAATCCGTGGCTCTGATGAGCACTAGACGCGCAGCTGTCTGCAGAATCAGCTCTGATTGGGATGTCCCGCTGGGCGTCTTGAGCGGGATCTCGTCCTGCCATGTCGGGGCCTGCTGTGCATCCGTCGCGGTGTCTGCCCCTCTTCCCTGCGTCCTGCTCCTCCTGTGTCCCCGGGCTGGGCCCTCCACTGACCAGACATGGCCGCACCCTCCACAGCTCCCGCACATGCGTGAAGAGAGGCTCATCTTTCAGTGTTGACATTGCTTCTCTCCCTCCCGCCGCCTCTGCCTGGTTCTTGAGTCTCTACTCCTTTCTTCTGGATGCGAAGTCTGGCCAGTTCTCCAGCTTTGGTGGACCTGCTTCCTATTCCGCTTTCCTGGGCGCCAGGACCATCTTTCAAGATGAGAAACCCAAATCAAATCACTACGTGAGGCTCCCGCACCCCCGCCTGATGATGGACGGGCTGCCGCGTTTCGGGAGCTGGACCCCCCGCCTCCCGAGTCTTCACAGCCCCCTGAAGGCCTCTGGGCAGTCGCCCAGCACGCCGTCCCACCCTCGGGAGGCTCCTAGGAGTCCAGGGAACGGACCTCGGCGCGATGCCCGGTGGGGAACGTGCGTTCTGCGAACCCAGCCTCTGCCCAGGGGTCGGTTTCCTCAGGGACAAGCCACGTGCACCCACCTTCAAAGCAGGACCGGCGGAGTCACGTGGGAGTCAGGCTGGGGGCGTGACTTTCTGTGGAGAGAGGGCCATGGGGGGGGAGAAGGCCCGTGTTCTAACGGGGGTCTGCCACGAGTTAGCCCCGGAATCGAGGTTGGTTACGTCACCTCTGCGGTGTTCTCTGCAAAACGCAGAGGTCAGGCTGAAGGGTCGGTGACTGCCATTCCCGCGCCGGGTGCCGTGCGGGCTCGTCTTCACTGGTTTCTCCCTGTGAGTTTCACTCGGCCAGTGAGTGTCCACCGCATGTTGGCGAGACAGAGTCACGAAGTGCCGCGCCCCCCGCAGCCCGTAGGGCTTTGCGTGGCTTCTCCCCGCGGTTGGACCAGACGTGAACGTGTGTTTCCGCAAGCCCTAGGCTGTGCACGGCTGTGCTGCTCAACGACGCCTCGACCTTTACCATCCGCACCGACAGTGGGACTGTGAAAATGTCCCTTTATGTGGTTTTTCGTTCTTACAGTACTAAAAACGACCCGCCTTTGATGTACTGTTTTCTCCCTTTTTCCACGTATAACTCGGCTGTTTTCCGTCTTACATGGTCACAGTTAGACACCTCCCATTGGCAGGGACCAGTGGTCACTGTCCTCAGCAGGGCCCAGCACTCCCAGGCACCTGGAAATCATCTCTGGT